AATGTCAGGGCCTGAGATGTCACAGATCCAACCCCACCCCCACAGCCAGGTAACATTTGTTGAAAGTGAGGCAGAGAGAGGTCAGAAGACTTGCTGGAGAAAAGTGGGGCAGGGCTGGCCCTTCAGAACCAGGAGCACTTCCCAGAGCCAGACTGTCTGTCTGCCCCAGGTAGGGAGCCTTGTCTGTCTGTCCAGAAGAAAGGCTGAGAGGCCACCATCATCTAGGGGCTTGCCCAAGTCACGCCTCAAACCCGCAGGCAGGCGTCTTTCCCCTGCAAAACCCCATTGTCCAGATGAAGTCCTGCCACTCAGAGAGGCAAGACTAATTCTAGCCCAGGGGATGAGGAGGCCCGTGGCTCAGAGTTCTGGGTCAGGTCTCATTTCTCGCCTGGATCTGACCCATAGCAAGTCATGCAGCGTCGGCATTGGAGTCTCCTCATCCGTGAGTGTAGATGCCTCCCTACCAAGGCTGACCTGGGCATTACATGAAATAGTGGAGAGCCGGGCACAGTGGCTGGCCTGGGTAATCAGCTGTTCTGACTGCCGCATAGTTGCTACAGGCTGCTGCCTGTCTGCTCTGAGTGAGGTGGTCTGGGTGACTGCTGGCAGCAAGTCCTGCCCACCTGACCCCTCCTGGTCTCTGGGGCCCAGGCTCGACCTCAGGCTAGTAGTCAGCTGAGGCTGCCCCTTCTCTGGAGGGTTCCAGGTCCTGCCTCCCTCTCAGGGTCCCTATCCTCTGTGCAGGCACAGAGCGGGTGTCAGGGTGCAAGTCTCTCATTCATTCATTCTTTAAATATTAGCTGTGCATATGTTATGTGCCAAGCACTGTGCAGGGCTCTCAGGGTTGGCAGAGTGGAGTGGAACCCAACCTGATCTCTGCTTTCATGAAGTTCCCTACGTTGTAGGGGACATAGACTTCGTTTTTTGTTTTTGTTTTTTGAGACAGGGTCTTGTTCCATCACTTAGGCTGGAGTGCAGTAACATAATCACAGCTCACTGCAGCCTTGAGCTCTCAGGCTCAAGCAATCCTCCCACCTGCCCGGGCAGCTGAGACTACAGGTGTGTGCCACCACACCTGGCTACTGTTTTCAGTTTTTGTAGAGACAGGGTCCCTCTAAGTTGCCCAGGCTGGTCTTGAATTCCTTGTCCCCAAGCACTACTCCTGCCTCAGCCTACCAGTGTTGGGATTACAGGTAGGAACCACCATACCCATCCTGGATGCAGGCTTTTAGCAAAGAGTCACACCAATAAGAATAGCTGTGAAGGTCAGGGCATGACCCCAGATGGGCGAACACTACATTGGAGGTCCAGGAAGATTCTCCTGACAAGGCAACCCTGAGCCAAGATCTGAAGGATAAGAGGGAGCTGATCACATGGAAGAGGGAACAGTATTCCTGGCAAGTAGAACAGCATGTGCAAAGGCCAGGTGGTAAGAGGGGCTTCAGGGACAGTCTATGGCTGGAGCAGAGTGATTGAGGGCATGTGAAATGAGAGGTGGCCAGGGTGGCAGGTAGGGACTAGCCCAGTCGGCCATGGAAGGGATGGGACTTCGGTCACTGTTCCACATTTCCAGATGTTTACTGTGTGCCAGGCTTGGTGCTAAATGCTTTTCTGGAGTATCACACTAGACTCTCACATAGGTAGGACAGGAACTGTTCTTCACATTTTATAGATGAAGGGCTTGATCTCAGCTTAGATCCCTTAGCCGAGAGCCCACAGTCAGGAAGCAATGGGACGTGTGATGGCAAGGCCTGTGTTCAGAACTGCCAGGCCACACAGAACTCAACTCACTACAACCTCCTGAAGTGGGTGTGATTATTCTTCCCACTTTGCACAGGAGGACATGGGCCCAGAGAGCTTGTAGGTGGAGTTGAGCCTGGGCAGTCTGGCTCCAGAGTGTCCACGGTCTCAACCACTGGCTCACATGGCTTCTTAAGAAGTAGGAGAAAAGGCAGCTCAGGCCGCCTTGTGAAAAGAGTGGAGCAGGGACAGTGGCGTGGCTGGGACCATGCTGTGATGGAGTCCAGTGGACACATGCAGGATGAGGTGAAACAGGCTGGGCCTGGTGAGGGGCTAGATGGGGCTGGGATGAGGGGGGAGCCAGGTGAACTTGGAGTTGGGTTGGTACAGCTGGAGGGTGTGGGGAGTCTCTGAGGTGAGGCTGGGTGGGGTGGGAACGCCATGTTTGGTCTGGGACACGGTGGGTTTGGATGGCTATGGGACAGTGCAGTAGAGAGTCAGAAAGGCTGCTCAGACCCAGGTCTGGCGAGATGGAGGCTGGAGGTGGGGTGAGATGTCTAGGAGAAGGACAGAGTGGGAAGCAGAGGCTCTCGACTTGGCTTTCTTGCCAAAGGAGGGTTCTGAAACGAGAAACTGTGGAATCTAGGCTGGAGAGGAAGAAAGATGGAGAATGAGCGACTGCACAGGCATGGGACAGATGAATATTCATTTCTTTGGCTCCTTTGTATCTGCGTCTTCTAAACCTGTGGCCAGATGACCCCTGGGAGGCTGCAGGGATGCCAACTGCGAGCTGAGTGCAGCTCTGCTGCCTGGGCACGGCGGGTGAGGGTGCATACCCTGCCTGTGATTGCCAGGGAGCATGAGTGATGAGAACAAGGTGGCTGACAGGGTGAGGCCCAAACCTGGAGCTCACCCAGGTTGTGGGGTGGGGGGGTTCTGGGACCTTTGAGGGGGTCTTAGGGAGCTTCCCCAGCCCTAAGAGCACCACGAACTGCCACTTCACACTGACCCGGGCATACACAGCTGCATGATCTCTGCTCACTCTCTCACATGCAAATGTAGACCGTACAACCACCCTGCCCACAGATCCAGAAAGTCCAGGACACAACAGAGCTGCAGTGCCTGCCTGCTGCCCCCCGCAACCGACCCGACACAGACCTAGCCCAGGAACAAGCCCATCCACGGTGACAAACATGCTACCCAGTGGCAGGAGCCTCTCACCCGAGCCTCACTGCCTGAGGACCCCCCCAGCCTCTGGCCTCATTTTCCACCCTCTGACAGCCAGCCGGGGGCACAGAACAGGCCTGGATCTAATCCAAGGCCTGGACTCAGCCTGACACAGTGTGAACTCAAGGCCTTCCCCACCTCGCCCAGGGCCAGAGCCCTTGCCTGTAAAGTGGAAGTGGAAATGGCCGCCACCCAGGTAGAAACCCTCACTTAGGGCCTCATGGCCAGGCATCAGTGCTGTTGAGAGAGGGGCCAAGGTAAGCCATGGAGCCCTTGCCCGTCTTGGTATCCCACCATCACCAGGAGAGTGCTGCGTGGGCATCACACCCCTCACAAATGAACAAAGTGAGGCAGCAAAGGGCCTCAAGGTGAGTTAGGGTGAGGCCTCAGCTCTGCTGCTGCCCCTGCAGCCTGGGATGGGAGGGTAGCTAGTGGCCAACCCCAAGGACTCCAGGCTAGCGTCCCCTTACGTGGGTCCCGTGGCCTGCTCCCAGCCTGCATGCCACCTCATGGGGGTCCTCTGGGTGGCCCAGGGGCAAGATTGGCCCAGCAGAGCAGCTTGGTGTTACAGGGAAGGGAGGCACAGTCCACCACGCCAAACACCTGGGGCCCCACGTATATTTAATGATGTCTATTATTCCTGTTTTGTCTCTGGAAAGGACTGAGCAGCTGACAGGGGAGCCACAAACAGCCCGGAAGCTGGGCCTGGGCCTGCTCCACATTCCAGCTGGGCCCGGGGCCCCAGGGAGCTCTCTACCTCTCTTGACAGCCTCACAGAACCTGCTGCATCACTCCAAAAAGGCACACCTCCTCCAGGAAGCCTTCCCTGGTGCTCAGAAGTCTTACACCTAGGCTCTGCATTCACAAACTGTGCAACCTACACCAGCTTCTGAGGGACAGCAGAATACTGTCGGGGGGCCTGACACTGTCCCAGGCACACAGTAGGCACTCATCGAGCCCCTGCCAGCCCCTCTGCTCCTGGCTTCTGAGGCAACAGGAAATGATCAGCCACCTTATTCTCACAGGGGAGCTTCCCTGCCACCCAGATGGTCACAAGGGCCTCCTGGGATGCTGCCCACCTTGGCAGCCAGGCCCCTCTGGAGGGGCCAGTCTGGGCCTGACACCCATGACCAACGCCCTGGGCAGAGGCTGCCTGTGCATTCTCCTTGCCACCCATGGCCTGGGGCTGCCCTGGGGATCCAGGCGCCACCCTCTCCAACTCCCAGGCCCACTGCTACCCTCAATGCCTGACCTGTGCCCACCTGACTCAACCTGGCTACTGTTCAGCAAGTTTAGAAGTGTTCTCAGTCTGGACAGGAACGGTTTTCAATCCTTTATTTCAGAAAGGAGAGCCAGGAGAACTGGGGACTTAGAAAACAGATTCTAAACTCAAAAGTCCTTGGCCCAGAGCCAGGGTCTGGGGGTTTTGTGCTGGGCAGGGGCTGCCCTGGGAGGGTCAGAGAAGGGGAGGCACTTTTGGACACCCCTTAGGCTGTGGAGGATGTCAGCTGGGCCTTTGAAGCCACTAACCTCTACTTCTAATCCTGGAGAGCCCTGAGTGGAGGACCCAAGGGGGTTTCTTCCTGGAAAAGCCCCCACCCCAAGTGTCAGAGAAGCCAGCAGGAGCTGAGGGAGGGAGGTGCTGTAACGGCAGCTACAGCCTCCAGGGACTCAGGCAGGCCCAGCTTCCTGCCTGGCACTGAACATGCCATCTGCTTTAGGCCCCGGCTGGTAGGCAGGTGGGCAGCTTGCTCCCTCAGCACAGGGGCCGGGGGCACAGATGCAGGCCCAGCACTCCAAACTCAAACCCCACCCCGAGAGGCCTCAGTCTTACGGGAAATGCCTCCAGCCGAACCCCTCTGCCCCAATGCACTCTTCATCTGCCTACTGAAGAAACTTCTGGAAATACAGAGACTTTGAGGAACCCCTTCCTGGGGTGTGTGTATTTGTATTTTTCTGTTTGGGTGTTTGGGTGTTGCAGTAGGACCAACGCCCCAAGGAGATGAGGCACGTGGGCTGGAGGGCTGGCAGGCGCCATTACTTCTTCACGATCTGGATGACGTCCTCATGCTCCATGGTGTGGGTCAGGCCCACCCTCTGCGGACTGTACTTAGTGCTGGTGCCCTGGGTGAGGAATGGGGGCAGAGGGGTCACCTCAGCCTGAACTGGCCAAGGGCAAGGCCAAGAAAGATATCCCTGGGGTGTGTGTCCTGGGGGTGAATGCTGGTGTAAGGTGGGGGCCCCAGGCAGCAGGATGTCCGCAGTGGTCTGACCATCCTTGACCTCAAAGGTGGGGGAGGGCCAAGCACAGTGGCTAATGCCTGTAATCCCAGCACTTTTGGAGGCCAAGATGGGAGGATCATTTGAGCTCAAGGATCACCTGAGCTCAGGAGTTCCAGACCAGCCTGGGCCAGATAGCGAGATCCCGTCTCCATGAAAAATTAGCCAAGCATGCTGGTGAGTGCCTGCAGTCCCAGCTACTTGTGACACAGAGGTGGGAGGATTGCTTGAGCACAGGATGTCAAGGCTGCAGTGAGCCATGATTGTGCCACTGCACTCCAGCCTGGGAGACAGAGCCAGACCCTGTCTCAAAAAAAAAAAGAAAAAAGAAAAAGGGTGGGGAAGGCCCAGGTCCAGCCTGGGTTGGCACGTACGTTCTATGGAGGACAGACACACAGTCATGCCAATCCCCACAGGAAGGACAGGAACACCATGCAGAGGAACGTGAACGCCTTGCTCCATGCCTAACCCGGGGGCTCTGCTGGGTCTAACCCCCTTCCTGCCTCTCATCCAGACACTTACCCATACCAGGGCATACTTGAACTGGCTGGCGAGTGACCGGTGGATGCGGTGGCACTGGAGGACAGGAGAGAGACAGACAGAGAGGTGAGGTTCCACCTAACCGCATCCCAAGCTCAGCTGCACTGTCTCTCACTCATCCTGGCCCCACCTGTGGCCTGACGCCTCCCACACATCACATCACCCCAACTCCCAGGGCAGCATACACCCTCCAGTGGTCCTTGGTAGGGATGAAGGGAGGGGCAGCCAGCATTTGCCCTGAGAGTGTGGACCTCTGGTTGCCACGCTGATGGTGGGACAGTGGAGGGCAGCGGGGAAGGGACTCTGCAATTGTGCGATGTGGCTCCTCCCCCCACATGCCCACAAGTCTTCCAGGCCCCAGTGGGAGACAAAATGCCTCAGCCCAGTGTCCCGGGGGCGGAGGCGGTGCCAGGCCTGCAGGTACACTTCCCCGACAGAGATGGGAAGGTGGCTGATTCTGGCCTGCAAATGGGTCTTACATTTTACTCAGCTTGCCACTTGTGAGTGTCTGAAGGGATTCAGGAGGGTAATCGTGAGTCTCCTTGGCTCCTCCTGCTGTGATCTCAAGCCTAGGTCTTAGAGAGATGGGACTTTGCGTGGCCTCATTTGTTCAACACCTCCAGGGTGGCACCCAGAAACCTGGGGCTGGGCTTGCAGAAGGAATGAATGCATGAGACCAGATTGCAAGCCCAGCCACCAGTGTCATAAGGGACTAGAGGGACAGTGGCGCCTACAGTGTCCCTTGCTTCCATGATACGGATCCCAAGAAGAAATCAGCTTGAGGAAAATAACACCTGGGAAAGCAGCAGCCCAGAAGGACGGCCATGTGACCCAACACTTGGCCACCACCGGTGCCTGCAGGGTCATGTTCAGGTGACAGAATTCTGGACAGAGAAAGGCAGCCTCATGCTCCCTGAGCCCAGAGCACCTCCCCTGGGGCCTGTGCATGCCTGCTCCCCTATCTGGGATGCTCCCCACCCCAACTCTTCACTGCCAGACCCGCTAGTTCTACAAGCCGGCTCAGGTCACCTCCTTGAAACCTCTGTCCTGACTTCTGTGTTGAGCTAGCGCCACTCCCCACTCCTTGACTGACGCCTGAATGGCATGGGAGCAGGGTTACTGGCATCTGTGCACTACAGGCAGCGTGCTAAGTGCCCTACATGCTGGACTTCATTCAACGCGTCTTCCTGACTACCCAGGGGGCAGGCAGCATATCCCCCATCACAGGAGAAGTTGGAGGCACAGCACATGGCTAGGAAGGGGTGCCGCAGACACAGCCCCAGACTGTCCAACTCCAGAGCCTGTGTGTCAGCATCTGAGATTGAGACCAGCAGAGCCCACCCCTGGCCCAGGGCACCTCAGGCAGAACAGAGCTCCAAGGGGCACACAGAGCTCCCACCCCTTGTTAGGGCAGGTCTTGTCAACTCACCACGTGCTCCACTGAGGCCCCTTTCCGGAGAATGATGGCGTCTGTGAAGTCCGGCCTCTCTGCAGGGTGAGATGGGGATAGCGTCAACCACACACGAGGACCTACACTGCCACCTCATGATTCTGCCCGAGGGAAGAGCTGGCTGCAGAGGCCCTTTCGGTCTCCTTGCCTTGGCCTAACGTCCCCCATATCCAGCACGCCCTCCACATATATCCCTGCGCCATCTTCTACAAGCCTGACTTGAACACAGTGACTCAAAAGAAATCAAAGTCCAGGATCGCACTGCCTGCCACCCATCTGCCATGATGGCAGTGACAGAGACCAGGATCTAGACTGAATAGGTGGGGCCTGAAGGGATGCTGGAGTCTCGTGAGGGAAAGTGTAGCTCGCTCCTTGCTGCCAAGGTCGGGGTTAATGCAAAGTGCTCTGAATTCAGCAGCTAGGACCCCAGGGCCTATGTGTGTGTGCACCCACCAGGAAGATGGGTGGGGGTCAGACATGGGGAGGGCTCTTCTGGATTCAGGTCACTAATGCTCCTGCGGTGGGGACTGTCACTGTGAGGGGAGGTCAGGATGGCACTAACTGCTGCAACCGACGAGGACCCCGAGGTAGCCTTGCCGCACCGGGGCACCCTCAAAACCAGCAGTGCCCAGTGCTGAGTAGGGAAAAGAGCTGAGATGTGTCTAAATAAGCCAGGCCAGAGCTGGTGCTGGGGTCTCTGGGCACCACCCACAGGCCTGGCAGCCTTTTAGGGAGGATGAAGCTCAGCCTGTTTCTCAGCTACACGCAGTGTAACTCACGTCCTCTCTTCTTGGTGTAGATGCAGGTCAGGGCCAAGTACTCCCAAAGCATCTCCAGCAGGTAGTCCAAGTTCAGCTTCATGCCACAGCTGCAGAGAGAGGGAGGCGGCCAGTCAGGCAGAGTCCCCTGTGAGTTCAGAGGCTGGGTCTCCACTTCTCACTATTGGAGGGGACAATTTCCACTGGCCAGCATGGGCACCAAGGCCAGGTGGCTCGCCGGTGCCCACAGGGAAACAAGCCCATTACTCTTGATGGCAGCTTGATGTTTCTGCTGCCAGTACCTCTGGACACCAATCATGGTCACAGTCAACCAGGGTCAGCAGCTCTCCTGGGGGCTGGCAAGACTGTGCTCTGTGGAGGGTTGTAGCATGTGTATGATGAAGGGCTGCTATGGGGAGATGGCCAGGGGCTGTGACGGGACCAAGGGCAAAGGCTGGGACCCAGAGCTCATTCCTTGCAGAGAGGAGCTAGGGATTGCCAGGAAGTCCAGTAGGATTTTCAGCATGAAGAGCAGAGAACCAAGGCTCTGGAGGCACCAGGTCTATGGTGAACCGTGGTGTGTGACCCTGAGCTGTGTCCTAAACTCTGTGGAGCCGTTCTACGCACGAGCAGGTAAAGGTGTGGAGCTGTCAGCCCTGAGGATGGCAGCCCCTCTAAGGCCCGGGACACAGCAGGAGAGGAGCTGAGGCTGTGCTATGGGACGGACACTGCTGTTTGTGGTGGCTACAACCACCACAACATGGTCCTTGTACTCAGGCCAGGACCCTCAACCATCATCTGCACCGTCTAGCCTCTTGGTCCCTGAGCTCTCTGTACTGTCGGCTGAGCTTCACTGTGAAGCCGCAGAGCGCCGGCGTCAAGCCAGGAAACCAGAAAAGGGAAGCACCTGAGTCTGCCCCAGAGAGGAGCCTGCCAGGCGGTGCTGGCAAGTGAACAAACAGCCGGTGTGGGCGGTACCCTGGGACCCACCTTGCAAAGGAGGGCAGGAAGTAGGTGACCAGAGCCTGAGAACGTTAGTTCCCTTTCCCCTTTGAGCTGTAATCAGACAGATGCCACACTTTCCAGAGCACCAGGAGAGGTAGGCTGACACCCAGGGCTTCTTGTGGGGGGGGGCCTTGGTTCAGTACTAAGTTAAGAAGTTTCTTAACCATTCAATCTTGTTTGATGAAATCCTTCTGTTTTCTTAACCAGAGCCCACAAGACATCACCCACCCTGTCCATGGCAATTCACGACTGGAACAGGCCAATCCCTCCAGCAGCCATGAAGGGGACCCTTCTGCAGTGTCTCCTTGACCTCATGGACAAAGTCCTTTGCCCTGGGCAGGAAGCCCTGGGCTCTGTGAGGGCTGTGTGCTGCTGGAGGCTGTGCTGGCTTTTCCTCCTCCACAGCCAAAGTGGCTGGGAGGCCTGACGACTGGGGTCAGAACCCAGAGCAAGGACAGCAGAGTGGCAGGATGCTGGCAGCCTCACCTGATGACCACACTGTTTGGTTTTCGGGCCAGGCGGTCCACCTCTTCCATGGAGATCTGGTCGATTTTGTTATAAACCTGAGATTGAAAAGGTGGAGGCCAGTGCTGAGGACAGGAGCAAGGGATCCAGGAAAGGGCTCTCCATCGCCCTGTGCCGGCTGCAGCCCTTCCTCGGCGAGCTGCGCCTACGCCCTCCTCCCGCTTGCTGCCTCAGGGTGGGGAAGGCTGGGCTGGAACCCTGGTTTCAAGCTCTCCACATCTGCAAGATGCAAGCAGCCGCTGAGGTGAGGTGAAGGGAGGGGAGAGCCTCAGACTCTTTCCACTTCTCTCACAAGGTTCCAGAAGCTCAGGAAACGCACGTGGTGGAAAGGCCGAGTGGCCAGGCCAGGGCTCCCTTCTGCACTTACATACAGGCAGGGCATGTACACCCGGTTGCCCACGATCACATCGATGAACTCATCTGGGGAGCAGTCTTCTCGGAAGAGCACTTCTGCATTGAAGATCTCTGAGGGGCTCCGATTAAGGGACAATCTGTGCACCAGCTGCCCCTGTACCCCTCAGCAGAGGGCCCCAAAGAGCAGAGCAGGAAATATGCTAGATGCATGGGACCTTGGCGGTTATCTGCCTGTGAGGTTTTTTACAAGACTGGAAAGCTTTGGAAGCCCTCTCTTTTTTCTTCGCCAGAGGAACCACAGTATACAAAAGTTTCAAGTTTCAATCAATATAGGATTTCAATCTTGACGGCCAGACAGGCAGAAAAATGTACCTGCTAGAATCCCCTAGGCCTTTCAGGGGAAGCGTGGGTTTTAGTGCCAGGAGCATCTGAAAGCTGGTCTGACCCAGCTTCTCCCATGAAGGCCTCTCCACTGGGGGCCATGCTGCCTCTGCTCACACGCCTCTGGGAACGAGGGGCTCACATCTGACTCTAAGAGTTCTCTATATGCCAGGTGTAACTCTGCCCAAGGCCCTGCCCTGTCCCCCAGGGCCCCAGAACTCAAATGGCCCCCGACACTGCTTTAGACGTACCACCTGCTCCCTAGCTCTCCCTGAGGCTTCTCCAGGCTAGGAACCCCTAGTCTTCAGAGGCTGTTTCCCATGACGTCTTTTTCTTCCAGATGTCATGTGGCTACCACAGTGCCCAGCACTCGGTGAGGAGCCCAGAAGCCACTGTCAAGTGCATGGCTGCAGCCCTGGCGGTATGGAGCTTTCCCAGAGGCTGCTCAAATGGACGGGGGGTCAGTGGGGGTGACCTGCGGCCACCCTGGGCCTCGAGGCCTCCTGTCTTGGTCAGTCCTCCCACTGCCCTGAGAGTGGTGGCTGCCCTCCCTCCCTGTCTTTCAGGGAAGGATATTGTATTCGTGCAGGATGAGCTGCACCAGCTTTTCCGAGCACTGGGTCAGCGTGACTGTCGAGTTAAAGGAGATGCCGCCGCCTTTCTTGGGCTAAAGGAGGAGAGGGGGGCAGGGAGACCTGCTGACTGAGGGGCCACAGCAACGGCCGCATGGCCTCAATTGCTGGCCAACATACTCTCAAAACTGCCACACCCGCAGCCCGAAGGCCAGAGAGGTGCCTCACCTTGAAGTAGATGTTAGGCTTGTGCTTGTTGAGGCGGATGCCCACGGACTCCAGCTCCTTTTCCAGCAGAGACCTAGGCAGAGCACCCCACAGGCCCTCACAGGCGGTCCACAGAGCCAGGCCTCCTGTTCCACAGGACGTCACTCCCCACCCAGACATGGACTCTCTCCTCCACCCGCTTCCCCAGCAGCCCAGAGTACACTCCTTCCCAATGCCCGGAGCAGCTTCTAAGCTCTGCCACAGTCCCAGAGGGGGCTGGCCCGGTTTACAGTCGGGGTGCACAGGCAAGTGGTGGGGCCCCCACGAGGTGACCACGAGGGTACTCCTTCTGGTCCTGAGGAGGCAGGCCTGGCGTGCCCTGCTGCCAGGACGTGGGATGAACAATGCTTCTGGGCTCGGGGCTGGGCTCCTGGCAGGTTCTGGGCAGTGACGGGCACCTGTGCCGCTGTGAACAGGAAGCAGAGCCAGGCCAGGCCCCTTGGCCCCCAGCCCCGAGACGCCTCTGTGCTGGCTGGACACAAGCCTTCAGGAGAAGACGCTCTGGGCTGGGTGATGTTGGGTTTAGTCTGTGAAAAGTCCTACCACTACTCTCATGTGTGAAAGGGCCAAGCACCCACAGGACATCCAGTACGAGCTCAGGGACACACTGACCCTCCCCAGACATGTAAGCCTGCCCCATGCCCCACCCTGCAGACCTCTGCACCTCTCCCTTGGTGGCATCCAGCATCATGATGACGACATCGGCCGTGCGTGCCACAGCAATCACCTGCCGGCCACGGCCTTTTCCTGGATGGGTGGAGGGATGCAGTTACATACCTGGGCCCATGTGACCACTACCCTGCCCACGGCGCCCTGGACTCCTGCCCTTTACAGACCTGCCACGGCCTCTGCCACATACCAGCACAAGCTAAATGAGTTTCTTGGCATTTTTCTTAATCCACGTTTTACTCACAGAGACTTATTTCAGAAGGAAATCCGACACCACCACCATAAAACGAGTAACAGGATAATAATGGCTGTCCTACCCCCACCCCATCATGTGGCAGGCCCCAGGCTAAATGCTTCCTGAACATTTCCTCACTTCATCCTCAAAACAATGCTATAAAGTATTATCATGCCTATGCTATAGCTGAGGAAACTGAGGCTTGGCTTAGAGAGACCCAATCACTTGCCCAAGATCACAAAGCTAGTATGGTGCCAAGGATTTGAACTGGAGCCTGTCTTTTCTGGAAAGCGGGGTAATGGAGCAGGAATCCAGAGTGATCTCCATGACAGCCACACCCAATTTCAATAATCAGTAACAGAGCTCCATCCCGCCTCCCACACACCTGCCCTGCCTCCCACCTTGGGCTGCGCCTTCAATGATTCCAGGAAGGTCCAGGAGCTGGATGTTGGCACCTTTGTACTAGGACGCAGAAGAGAAGACAGGTAAGGCAAGGCTGGGCCTCCACTGGGAAGGTTCTGCCTGGACCTGGGACGTCTGCAATGGGTCTAGGGTTCAGGAGCTGAGGGAAACCCAGGTGCCAACCTGTGGCCAAGTCCAAGCTTCGTCACCACCCCAGCCCGGTGCTGACCACAGCCTGTGAGCTGAGTAGCCACCTAGGGAGGGCCCAGGATCTCCCAGTCCCACAACACTCATCGCTGATGGTACCAAGGCTTCACAAATACATTGCTTCACCGTGGAAAACTCAAGGCCACACACCCAGCTGCCCAAAGCAAACACAGCCCAAGGCAGTGAAGCTTCACGGGGAGGCAGGGGGATCCAGACAAGCAGCAATTAGTGGCCAGAGTTGCACTGGTGTTGGGGCACCAGGCAGAGTGGCCACATGCTGGCCTGACCTCCCGATTCCAGGCTCCACGAGGCATCTCTGGGGTCCAGCACCTAGGATCCCCAGAAGTGCCAGTGCTGGAGGGCAAAGCAGCTCAGTCAGGACACCCACCCTGACTCTCACACACGGTGGGCACGTGCGCAGGTGCAAACACAAGCACGCGCCCCTTCTCCTTCTGGGCCCAGCACACCCACTTACTTCAATGACCCCAGGAATACACGTCAGAGTGGTGAACTCATAGGATGCTGCTTCGCTGGCCGTGGAGGTCATCAGACTCAAGAATGTAGACTAGGAGAAAAAGAGGTCACTGCACTGAGGAGCCTTGTCCCTGCCTCCCAGGAGATGCTCCACAGGGCTGGGAGCCTTCAGGTGCAGGCAGCAGGAGAAGCCCCTCTCACTCTCGGCTTGGTGACTTGGGTGGCTCTGAAGAGACCTCCCAGCCAGGAGGTTCACCTCTGGCCCTGTCCCAGATGTGTCAGACAGCAGAGGACTCACCTGTTCCTTGCAGGCCTCAGGACTGTCTCAGGTAGAGGCAGGGATCTGGATCCTGAGGGGGTTCCCCACATACATCAGGAGCCTCCCCCAGCCCCACACAATCCTCCAGGCCTTCCTGGCCCCGGAGAACTTTGAGCAGCCAGCAGTCCCACGGCCCTCCCAGTACTCAGACGTGCTGCGCACCCAGAGAGGGTGTGAGGAGGTGTGCAAGGAGACACCAGCCTCCCAGGCTGAGACAGACAGGAGAGGTGTGTGAAGTGGGGAACTGGGAAGACGTGGCTGTGACCACTCAGACCACCATTCGCTGTGGCTGGGAGTTAGAGACACGTGGCTTTGAATCCTGCCTCTGCTGGGGTGTCCTGGAATTGGGCAGGAAACTCCATACTCTCAGCTTCAGGCTCTTCACATGCTGAATGGCCATGAATCCACTCCCTACCTCGCAGGACTGCACAGGGATTACAAAGATAAGGCCTGGGACGTGCTCACTCCAAACACTGTAACACCTCAGTGATAGATGCTGCAGCTGAGAAGGCCAGCTGAGCAGTGTGCAGACCCAGGCAGGGAGGAAAGCCAGCCCCATGGCTCCTGCCCCACTCTCATCAGCAGGGCCCCAGGAACAGGAAGCCTGAGACTGAGTTGCAGGTCCGGGTATCCAGACCCTGCCTCCTGGCTGGCTGGCAGGAAGACTGAGGGCACGCCTCCCCAATGCACCCTCAGACCTCTGAAGCCCAGAATGTGGCATGTGATGGAAATACGTCAGATCCTCAAATCCAGAAACCCTCAGCCTTGGGGACCTCCTGGAAACGCAAGAAATGATGAAAACCTGGTGGAGTGGACAGGTATGGATACTCAGGGTGGCCCTGAGAACAATGACTGTTGAGACACCCAGCAACCAACATCAGGGTCACGCCCTGATTCTGCCTGGGCCCTGTGAGTGACAGACCTGGGCCCTCCCATGGCGGGAGAACCTATACTCCCACGAAGGCAGGTGGGATCCGTCACGGGCTCAGACTTCAAGGGTAACTCTTGGTAACTAGAGCTGCTTCTCTATCAATCTCTCTCTTCCTCTGATACATAGGCAGATGATACAACAAACAAAACTAAACACTGCCCAGCCTGCACCAAGCACTCAGGAAAAGGGAGCTGTTACCACAGTAACGAAACTGGGTGTGGGCTCAAGCCGTCCAGCTGGACTGAGTTAGAAGCTGCTCCCCAGCACCTGTCCAGGAGCTTGGTTGTTACTGGCCTGGCCTATATTCCAGCAACCTCTCCACTGTGGCGCTTTCACCTTGCCCCGCTCTAGCCTGCTATCTACACAACAGCCAGAGAGATTCTGCAAAAAAGTAAGTCAGCGCCCAGATGGTGGTTTTTAATGCTATTCTCCAATTAAAGGAACCAGGGCTCCTTGGAGAAATGGCAGATTCTAGGCCAGGGCAGGGAATATACAAAATGAGCCTGGGACATCTTGCAGTGTCAGAAAGTAAAGAAATGCTGGAAAAACTCAATGGTGGAAGTACATCAAAGATGCCAACTAAAATAGCTCCAAAGCTAAAACAATTTGAGCAGCAAAAGGACATGGTAAGGGTTTAGACCGCAGAGCGCAAAAATAACCCCCACAAGTCCATACAGATATCAATAAACGATTGAATAAAACAAATGAATGGGAGAGGAGAGAAATCTCCCATGCAGAATTCCAAACAGTTTCTGTCGACGCTCCCCTCAAGGCGGCCGTGGAAGTGGGCTGCACAGTCACCTCCCTGCCCAGATCATGGCGTGGCAAGGGGAGAAGAAAGCTTCTTCACGGTGGAAAAACCGGACGCACCTCAGCCAAGCAGTCAAGGTCAACATCAGCAGGGATACGTGGTGGTGACAGTACGTGCCCTTCGTGTGATGTGATAAAAATAGCACTTTACCTCTGTGGTCTTCCTTGCTAAACTATATCCCCAGACTAACCACGAGAAAAACACCAGACGAACCCCAACTGAAGGACTTTCTACAGAATATGGGAATGGTACTCCTCAAAACAGTCAAGGACATCAAATCAAGGCATGTCTAGGAAACTGTCTAGAAGAACCTAAGGAGACATAACAACTCAATTGCGATGTGGGATCTCGGGACAGAAGAAGGACAGTGGGGAGGAGCTAAGGAAATCTGCATAAAGCAAGACTTGAGGCAGTAACAGATCAACACTGATAGGTACAAAATGTTAACCGCAGGGCAAACTGGGTGTGGAGTATATGGGAACTCTGTACTACCTTTGCAATTTTTCTGTAAATCCAAGACTATTCTTTTTTTTTTTTTTTTTTTTTTTTTAGACGGAGTTTCGCTCTTGTTGCCCAGGCTGGAGTGCAATGGCGCGATCTCGGCTCACCGCAACCTCCGCCTCCTGGGTTCAGGCAATTCTCCTGCCTCAGCCTCCTGAGTAGCTGGGATCACAGGTATGCGCCACCATGCCCAGCTAATTTTTTGTATTTTTAGTAGAGACGGGGTTTCACCATGTTGACCAGGATGATCTTGATCTCTTGACCTCGTGATCCACCCGCCTCGGCCTCCCAAAGTGCTGGGATTACAGGCTTGAGCCACCGCGCCCAGCATTTTTTTTTTTTTTTTTTTTTTGAGACAGAGTTTCGCTCTTGTTACCCAGGCTGGAGTGCAATGGCGCGATCTCGGCTCACCGCAGCCTCCGCCTCCTGGGTTCAGGCAATTCTCCTGCCTCAGCCTCCTGAGTAGCTGGGATTACAGGCACGAGCCACCATGCCCAGCTAATTTTTTTTTGTATTTTTAGTAGAGACGGGGTTTCACCATGTTGACCAGGATGGTCTCGATCTCTCGACCTCGTGATCCACCCGCCTCGGCCTCCCAAAGTGCTGGTATTACAGGCTTGAGCCACCGCGCCCGGCTAATCCAAGACTATTCTAAAATAAAAAGTTTGTTTTAGGCCGGGCTTGGTGGCTCATGCCTGTAATCCCAGCACTTTGGGAGGACGAGATGGGTGGATCACCTGAGGTCAGGAGTTCAAAACTAGCCTGGCCAACATGGTGAAACCCTGTCTCAACTAAAAATACAAAAAATTAGCCACGTGTGGTGGCCAGTGCCTGTAATCCCAGCTACTTGGGAGGCTTAAGCAGGAGAATTACTTGAACCTGGGAGGCGGAGGTTGCACTGAGCTGAGATCTGGCCCCATTGCACTCCAGCCTGGGCGACATGACTGAAACTCTGTCTCAAAAAAAAAAAAAAAGTTTATTTTAAAAAAGCCGATCAGATATATCTCTTTTCTGCTCAAAACCCTGCAATGATGTTTATCTTATTTCTCACATAAAAAGTAAATCAATATAGATCGTACATTAAGCAGAGCAACTTTCAGAACACACCTTCTAAAAACTCTGCAGTTTCATTCTTCAATCCAAGCCACGGTCATTCTGGCCGCCCAGAAGTCCCTATCCTCTCTGTCTTCTGCCCTCCTCGTGCTCCTCAGGGAGCCACCTGGGACCCCCTGGACACACCCAGCAAGTGCCTGCCTAAGCACCTCTGTGCTCACTGTTCCCTCTGTCTGGAATGTTCTCACCCAGGACTCTGAAAGCTCCCTCACTTCCTTCAGGCTCCTGCCCAAACTCACTCGCCAGAGAAACCAGCCGGGACCCTTGTAACTAGCAGACCTTCGACCTGTCACTCACCAGGCCCTGCTCCTCACCACTTGAGGCACCTCATCTTTATTTACTGTACTTTCTCTTCAAGAATCGGAAATCTATGTGGGCGAGGACAGAGCTCTGTCTTGTTCCTGCTGTGTCTCTAGTCTCTGGCACAGTGCCCAGCACATGACACACGCTCGAGATATACACTCAAGAAGTATTTGTGTGTGATGGCTGGGTCGGAAGACCAAGTAGGGCTACATCTCCTGGCAAGAGGAAAGAGCGTCCTTCACGTTAGGAAGATAAAGGGCTGGGATCTGACCCTGGGGGAGACCGGGTCTTCTGTGTCCCCGGAACTAAGCAGAAAGGCAGCGAGGGGAGCCTGGATGGTCACCTGTTTGAAAGACGACTTCCTGCCTTCCTCCCCCAGGCCCACAATGACCATCACTGACCTTACCCACAGAGGGAAATCCAATCAGCGCCACTCGGGCATCGCCCGACTTCATGACATCAAAGCCTTCTCCTTTGGATGAGGCGGATTTGGATGGTTCCAGGAGCTGGGCCCGATACTTGGCGAGCTTGGCTTTCAGCAGGCCCAGATGATACTCAGTGGCTAAAGGACGGAAAGCAAGACAGAAGGTGAGTGGCCAGGGTGTCCCAGCCCAGGTGTTAGGCACGACCCACACATCGCCAAGTGCTGGCTGGGAAGCAACCGCTGTCAAGGAGATCAGGAGAAAAAAAAAACCACCCCTCAGCTATAAAAAGGCCCGCCTGGCTTCCCAATCCAGTCTCTTTGTTGAGACCTCACCACCCTATTGAGAACCAATGGTTCTCAACAGAGGAGACACCATTCCTTGCGGGGCATTCTGGGAGATGTTTGCTGTTCACTTTGATGAAGTCCTCATTGGTATGTATTGGGCAAGGGACAGGAAAACCAGCTGCACCATAAGGTGAGTCAGTCCTGCATAGCTGAGGAGAATCTGTCCCAAGTCCATGACTTGTCACATCCCAAAGGCACCCACAGAGGGAAAACCTGGGTTAGGACCGCTGGGCCTAAAACCCAGCTCTGTTTACATACGAACAGGACATTTTCTGCAGTGTTAATATTCACTGAAATTCCCAGGAATGCAACTATTGTACATATGAAGGGAAGACTATGTCATGCTTGTCTGAAGCTTTGCCTAGAGCTGCTCGCCATTCTGGGATCCCACCTGGCAGCACCTCTTGTAGGGTAACCCAGTGGCCAGCACAACACACCTGCATCGTGGCCGGCACCGCCCCAGTGATTCTACCTAGAGGCCTGAGCACTGCACTGCTCCAGGGTAACTTCGTTATATCCTGGCAGCGCTCCAGCTTTCACGTGTTGAAAAAAATACCATTTTCATTACAAATTACTTTCCTTTTTCTTCTCCTTTATATTACTATTAGGGTATTACACTGGTTTTTTTCCAGATTCTATGGGCACATAAGTTACATTACTGATGAGGAATTTTACTTCAGGACCGTAAAGCATGTTACAAACTCTTTGCTATAAACTGTGGCTGTGGTTGAGACTGAGAACCAGGATGCTATGTGACCTGGCTCCTGGCTACTTCAATATACTCTGCTACGTTCCAGACCCAGTGGCTTTCTCCTCTCTCCTTTTTTTAAGAGATGGGGTCTCATTCTATCACTCAGAGTAGAGTTCAGCAGCACAATTATAGCTCACTACAGCCTGGAACTCCTGCCTCAGCCCCCTGAATAACTAGGACTACAGGCATGCACCACCAGGCCTGACTAATTTAAAAAATTGTTTCTGGGCCAGGCGAAGTGGCTCACACCTGTAATCCCAGCACTTTGGGAGCCTGAGGCGAGTGGATCACAAGGTCAAGAGTTCAAGACCAGCCTGGCCAACACAGTGAAACCGTCTCTAATAAAGACACAAAAATTAGCCAGACACGGTAGCACACACCTGTAGTCCCAGCTACTCGGGAGGCTGAGGCAGGAGAATAACTTGAACCTGGGAAGCGGAAGTTGCAGTGAGCCGAGACCGCGCCACTGCACTCTAGCCTGGGTGACAGAGTGGGACTCAGTGTCAGGGAGGGGGGAGGAATTGTTTTTGTAGAGATGGGGTGTTGCTATGTTGCCCAGGCTAATCTTAAACTCCTGGCTGTAAGCAATCATCCTGCCTCAGCCTCTCAAAGCGCTAGGATTATAGGTTGAGACACTGGGGTTACGGGCACACACTACCACGCCCAGCTAATTTTTATATTTTTAGTAGAGATGGTTTCACCATGTTAGCCAGGATGGTCTCCATCTCTTGGCCTGATGATTCACCCGCCTCGGCCTCCCAAAGTGCTGGGATGATAGGCATCTTTTTTTTCTTTTCTAGAACATGCTGACCTCATTCCTTCCTCGGGACCTTCACACTGGCGATTCTCTCCATTTCAACAAGATCTTCGTGGAGCTGGTTCCTTCCCATCATTTGAGGTGCAGTTCAAATGTCACCTCTTCAAAGAGGCCTCCCCCGCCCAGTCTCGGGGTGGTGTCCTACAGAGGTTGAGAGCTTGTGTCAGAACTCCACCCTGCCATTACTGGGGCCATTTTACTTTGGAAAAGTTAGTCTTCTTGTGCATCAGTTTCTTAATCTGCAAATAAGGTTATTAACAGTAGTAACTACTTAGGCAGATTTCTTTTCTTTCTTTTCTTTTGAGACAGAGTTTCGCTCTTCTTGCCCAGGCTGGAGTGCAATGGCACAATCTCGGCTCACCGCAACCTCCGCCTCCTGGGTTCAAGCGATTCTCCTGCCTCAGCCTTCTGAGTAGCTGGGATTACAGGCATGTGTCACTATGCCCAGCTAATTTTTTGTATTTTTAGTAGAGATGGGGTTTCTCCACATTGGTCAGGCTGGTCTTGAACTCCTGACCTCAGGTGATCCGCCCACCTAGACCTCCCAAAGTGCTGGGATTACAGGCATAAGCCACCAACAAGAGACTTGCTGTGTCACCCAGGCTGGAGTGCAATGGCGCCATCTCAGCTCACTGCAACCTACACCTCCTGGGCTCAAGTGATTCTCCTGGGTCCACCTCCTGAGCAGCTGGGACTACAGGCCTATACCAACATGCCTGGCTAATTTTTGTATTTTACAGATGGTGTTTTACCATGTAGCCCAGGTTGGTCTCCAACTCCTGACTTCAAGTGATCCACCGACCTTGGCCTCCCAAAATGCTGGGATTACAGACATGAGCCACTGTGACTGACCATACTTCAGCAGATTTCTGATAGTGGAATGCTAAAGAAGGCTTACAGAAAGAACCAAGAACATCGCTTAGCACACAGTAAGCACCCAATAAAAGTTGGCTATAATCTACAGTAAATTCCACCCTTCCCCAGGCCCCTTCCTGCCTCATGAGCCAGTTTCCTGTCTTCTCAACCCTGAAAACTATCTTATTTCTTTACTTCCCTGACTCCCATAGGTCAGGAAATGGGACTGGATCATTTCCTGGGACTGTGCTTCCAGCATAGGGCCCAGGTACACAGGAAATATTTTATCAGGTAAGTAAGTGAATTGATAGCAGTGAGAAAGGGTTGAGAACGGGTTCTGCAGCTGGGCGTGGTGGTTGAGGCCTGTCATCCCAGCACTCTGGGAGGCTGAGGAGGGAGGACTGCTTGAGGCTGGGAGTTCAAGACCACTCTGGGCAACACCGTGAGACTGTGCCTCTATAAAAAACACAAAATTAGCCCGGTGTGGTGGTGCATGCCTGCAGTCCCAGCTACTCGAGAGGTGGAGGTGGGAGGACTGCTTGAAAGCAGAAGTTTGAAGTTATAGTGAGCTATGAATACAGCCTGGGCAACAGAGCAAGACTGTCTCAGAAAAAAAAAAAAAAAAAAAAAAAAAAAAGGATTCAGTGATAGTCACATACACATGGCCCTTACTGCCATCTCAGCTCCTAAAATTCTGAGCATCTCTGAGGGGAAGGACTAGGTTTTAATCACCTTTTCATCTCCTTTGTCTACCACTGCAAAGTGGCAGCCTCTCCAGCCTCCCTACGAGTTTCCTTGGGGCTTACAGGTAATATTCCACACAGCAGCGAGAGGGAACTTTCAAGACATAAGTCAGAATAGACCCTCCCCGGCTTCCCACCCTGCACCAGCTCCCATTGGCTTAGAACGCAGGAGTCTTTCCCATGACCCGTGGCTCTGCATGATCAGCTCCCTCCTGTCCTGTCACTACACCCCAGCCACAGTCCTGTTGGTCTCTAAACAGCCAAGTTTGTTCCCACCTCAGGACCTTTGCACTAGCTGCTCTTTCTGGCAGGAACACTCTTCCCCCAGATGTTTGCGTGGCTGGTTCCTTCTTCTCATTCAGGTCTTAGCTCAAATGCCCCATCCTCATGGTGGTCTTCTCTATCGTTCCAGCTAAGCAGGCCCAATCCCCAGCCCCTCCCCACCCCCAATACCCTGCTGTATCACCCTGGTTTGTCTTCATAGCACATATGGCATTATCTTATTTATTTGGTTTGTGGTTTCCAGACTGTCAACCAGAAGGTCAGACTGAAGGGCTGGGATATGCCTGCTATGTTCACTGCTTTAACCACAGTGCCTAGCATGCAGTAAAGGCTTAGGAAAGATCAGCTGGGGATGGTGACTCACGCCTGTAATCCCAGCACTTTGGGAGGCCAAGGTGGGCAGATCACCTGAGGTCCAGAGTTCGAGACCATCCTGGCCAATATGGCAAAACCCCATCTCTACTAAAAAAGGACAAAAATTAGCCATGCATGGTGGCACATGCCTGTAATCCCAGCTACTTGGAGGCTGAGGCAGGAGAATCACTTGAACCTGGGAAGCAGAGATTGCAGTGAGTCCGGATGGCACCACTGCACTCCAGTCAGGGTGAGCAAAATTCTGTCTCAAACAAACAAAAAAAGATTTACAGAAGGAATGAGTCATAAAGGGCCCTCAACTCCTTGGCCTTCAAACCTAAATGGAACCAAGGGAGTGCGGGCACTGGGACCAGCCATCCAGTGTTTCTTGCTTCCTGCTCCCACAAGCCTGAGTGGCTAGGCACTAGTCTGTCCAGTTTCACTCCCATGACTCCTCCATACCCCCTTCTGATGTAGATTCTTCTCACTGTCCCATGAACACACCCTGCTCACTCCCACGTCTTTGCCTCAGTAGTGCCCCCCACCTGGGATACTCTTCCAACAACCAGCTCAAGTCCCACCTCCTCCTGGTGTCACCGTTCTTCTCTCCTCACCTCTCTTCTCTGAGCTCCTCCAGCCCTTACAACCTGAAGTCCAAATCTGAGGCTTCATTATGTACTATCTACGCTGGGGCGTTTACTTTAAATACTGTGTGCTCATCATGTGCCCAGTGCTTTGTAAAGGCCATCTATTTTTTTTTTTTTCTTTGAGACGGAGTTTCACTCTTGTTACCCAGGCTGGAGTGCAATGGCACGATCTCGGCTCACCGCAACCTCCGCCTCCTGGGTTCAAGCAGTTCTCCTGCCTCAGCCTCCTGAGTAGCTGGGATTACAGGCACGCGCCACCATGCCCGGCTAATTTTTTGTATTTTTAGTAGAGACGGGGTTTCACCATGTTGACCAGGATGGTCTCGATCTCTTGACCTCGTGATCCACCCGCCTTGGCCTCCCAAAGTGCTGGGATTACAGGCTTGAGCCACCGGCAAGGCCATCTATTTTAACTCAGCTGTGAGCTAAGACGGAGCAGGGGAATATTGCCCCATTTACACGTGAGGGCACTGAGGCTCCACGGAGTGAAGTGACTTTCCAATATTTTACAGAAGGTACGTGGTGGACCTGGGGTTCAAATCCAGGCCTTCCCGACTCCAGAGCCTGAATCCCTCGCTCCAGTGGGCTCTCAGCTTCTGGGTGAGGCTGTTCCTGAGAGGCCTCCTCTTGCGCTTCCCAAAGCAACAGGGGAGACCACCAAAGGCCCAGACCTAGCCATCAGGGGACTGGGGTTTGAACCCCAGTCGGGCCTCTCTCTGGGTCAGATGTTTCCTCTGTGAGCTGGGATCACTCTGCTCTGGCACACGGTCTGGTACTGATCAGATCTCTTTGGGGCCGTTTGCCGTCAGACCTGCGCGTGAGACCCGCTCCCGCCTGGCCCTGCCTTGGGCGCACAGGGCGGCCTCGGCACTTGTCTGGCAACTTCTCCGCGGCCTCGGACCCTGCCCCAGCATTACTGCTGGAGTTGTTCCCCCATTTTACAGACAGGAAAACTGAGGCGGGCAGAAAGAAAGACCCCCGCCCGGCCGGCCCTCACCCTTGTTCTTCTGCGTCCGAGCGATCTCCTTCTCGATCTCCGAGATCTTCTCTAAGATCCCCATGGCGGCAGCAGAGTTGGGCGTACGGACGGCCGCTGCGGAGGCACCGGGAATTCCGGTCTGTCGGCGGCAACAGAAAAGCGTGCGCCCGGAAGCCGAGGAGAACAGCGTTCTCGTGGGCGCCTGGTGCTCCGGGATTAAGAGTCCGGGCGGGCGCCGTCGAGCCGAGTGCCAGACACTGTCGGTTCCGCCCGCTGGGCCGGCCAGGCTGTGGACCCGCTGGAAAGGGCCGGGCGTGTGGTCCTGGCCCGCGGCTGAGTCTGGCAGGAGCAGGCACCGAATAGAGAGGAATCTGCCCGCGAGGAGCCCTGAACTGCGGGTCCCTGAGCGCAGCTGATTGGCAGTGTAATGAAGAGAAGCTGAACCGAAAGCCTGGTGGCTCTCATTTTATACTATAAATGGAGGTGACCCATCTTCTGGCTTCCCTGGGCCACGTTGGAAGAATTGTCCTGGACCACACGTAAAATACACAAACAGTAGCCGATGAGCTTAAAAAAATCATCAAAAAAATCTCGATGGTTTTTTGTTTGTTTCTTTTGTTTTTTGAGATGGAGCCTCACAGTATCACCCAGGCTGTAGTGCAGTGGCCTCGGCTCCCTGTAGCTTCCGCATCCTGGGTTCAAGCGATTCTCCTGCCTCAGCCTCCCGAGTAGCTGGGATTACAGGCGCCCACCACCACGCTCAGCTAATTTTTGCCTTTTTAGTAGAGGCAGGGTTTGGCCATGTTGGCCAGGCTGGTGACGAACTCCTGACCTCAAGTGATCTGCCCGCCTCAGGTTCACAAAGTGCTGGGATTGCAGGTGTGAGCCACTGCACCCGCGTGAATTTCGTAATGTTTTAAGAAAGTTTATGAATTTGTGTTCGGCCACATTCAAAGCTGTCCTGGGCCACATGTGGCTGCAGGTCTCAGGTTGGACAAGCTTGAAGAGGTTCAAAGCGGATCCCCAAGATCTACCAACTGCACTCCAGCCTGGGCAACAGAGTGAGACCCTGTCTCAAAAAAAGAAAAAAGAAAAAAAAAAAAAAGAAACAAACGTGGATCCCCAAACCACTGGGGTTTTTTGGTTGTTCTTTTTTGTTTTTGGAGACAGGGTCTCACTTGATCACCCAGGCTGGTGTGCAGTGGTATGATCACAGCTCACTGCAGCCTCGACCTCCCAGGCTCAGGTGATTCTCCCTCCTCAGTCTCCCAAGTAGCTGGGACCACAGACCTGCCCAACCACACCTCGCTGGTTTTTGTATTATGTTGTAGAGACAGAGTTTCTCCATTGTTGCCCAGGCTGGTCTCGAACTTCTGAGCTCAAGCAATCCGCCAGCCTTGGCCTCCCATAGTGCTGGGATTACAGGCATGAGCCACCATACCTGGCCCCTCATACCACTCAGCATCACCTATCATCAGATGCCTCCTGATGTGAAGCAGTGTGAAGTAGACAGTATCTTGTGACTTTTTTTTTTTTTTTTTTTTTAGACAGGATCTCCCTCTGTTGCTTTGGCTAGAGTGCAGTGATGTGACTACAGCTTACTGTAACTTCAACCTCCCAGGTTCAAGTGATCCTCCCACCTCAGCCTCCTGAGTAATTGTGACTACAGGCCCAAACCATCATGTCTGGCTAATTTAAAAAACAAAAAAAACAACTTTTTTAAAGAGATGGGGTCTCACTATGTTGCCCAGGCTGGTCTTGAACTCCTGGTCTCAAGCAATCCTCCCACATCAGCCTCCCAAAGTGCTGGGATTACAGGCATAAGTTGCCTCGCTTGGCCAACAGCATCACTTATGTAGAATTCTTGCAAAAAATACTATAAATGAGTTTAGGCATCAAGAAACATCAGATAAATGTAGAAAGCAGACATTTTATAAGGCAGGTGGCCTTGGTTCATCAAAATTGTCAATGACAGTGGCCACCGCTGTCATTGTGGGGGCAGGCAGGGAGATTGTTCTAAATGAGAAAAATGTTGCATGTGTGGAACTTGTCTGGATTCTGGTTGAAATTTTTATTTTATTTATTTATATTTATATATCTTTTTCGTTTTTTAGAGATGGGGTCTCTCTCTATCACCCAGGCTAGAGTATAGTGGCGTGATTGTGGTTCACTGCAGCCTTGAGCTCCTGAGCAAGTGATCCTCCAGCTTCAGCCTTCCAAGTAGCTGGGACTATAGGCACATGCCACTATGGCTAGTTAATTCTGGTTGAAAAATTTAAAAGCACCTATAAAAAGTCATTCCGAGCTGGGTGTGGTGCTCTGTACCTGTAGTCCTGGTAACTTGGAAGGCTGAGGCAGGAGAATTGCTTGAGCCCAGCAGGTTGAGGCTGCAGTGAGCCATAATCATGCCACTACACACCAGCCAGGGCCATAGAGTGAGATGCTGTCTCTAAAATAAATTAAATAAATAAACATTTTGAGTAAATAAAAAACATTCTGAGGACAATTTGGGGGAAATCTAACTATGAATTGGATATTGAATATTCTGGAGCTATTACCAGTTTTCTTGGTGTGATGAATGTCTTTATTCTTAGCAGAGGTACATGCAGTATTTAGGGGTTGTCTTCGTGGGCTCAGGCTGCCATAGAATACCATGGACTTGGTGGCTTAACCAACAGACATTTATTTTTTCACAGTCTAGACGCTGCAAGTCTGAGATCAAGATGCCAGCATAGTTGCATTCTAGCGAGGGCTCTCTTCCTGTTTTGCAGAGGGCCACTTTCCCACAGTGTCCTCAGATACCCTTTTCTCAATGCATGTTCTCAGAGGACAAGCTCTCTGGTGTCCCTTCTTACAAGGGTACGATGCCCATCATAAGCAGTATCCTACACCCATGAACTCATCCCACTCAAATTACTCCCATAAGCACCAGCTCCAAATACCATCACATCACAAACAGCCTGTAGTAGGTGTGACATCTGTATCTTACTCTCAACTAGTTCAAAGTATGTATATATGGGGCTGGGTGAGGTGGCTCATACCCGTAATCCCAGCACCTTGTGAGGCTGAGGCGGGAGGATCACCTGAGGTCAGGAGTTCGAGATCAGCCTGGCCAACATGGCGAAACCCCTTCTCTACTAAAAATATAAAAATTAGCTGGGTGTGGTGGTACAGGCCTGTAATCCCAGCTACTGTGGAGGATGAGACAGGAGAATCGCTTGAAACCAGAAGGCAGAGGTTGCAGTGAGCCACCACTGCACTCCAGCCTGGGAAACAGAGCAAGACTGTGTCTCAAAAAAAAAAAAAAAAACAAAAACAAAAACAAAAAACCCAAAATATGTATATGTTTAGAGAAAGCAGGCTAAAGTAAGTTTGCCAATGTTAACAATTGTTGAAACTGGAGGGAGGGTACGTGGGTGTTTATTAAATTATTCTTCCAACTTTTCTGTATATTATTAATAAAAAATTTCAGGGAGGAAATGCATCCTTGAAAATCATACCACCTGTGTTTACACTCCAGGTTCCTAACAGTGTGCACTTGGCTACATTTCTTAAGCTCTCTGAGCCTTGTTTCTACATCCTAAAAGTGGGAATAATGTGATTGTTATAAAAATGAAGTAAGATAATGGCTGTAGAGCACCTGGCATATAGTTTGCTTGCTCATAAATTGTCCTTGAGTGCCAGAACCATTGGAAATTATTTCTTCTCTCTGGATGTCATGGAATTCCTCAGATTCAACCCCTATTTATTGAGCACCTACTATTCACCAGGCTCGGAGCTAGATAGGAGCTTTTGCAAACTTTGAACCTACCACTCTCATCTACATTTCACAAAGTGAAGTCTCAAGCTATGCAAAGTGCCTGGCCCAGTGTTCAAGCCATTCAGCAGCAGGGCTGAGATGTTAATCTAGGGCTTTCAATTCCAAGTCCTGTGACTCTAACGTAACATGGTAGATGTATGATGTTTCTGTACAGTTTAAAGAAGATGATAATCGTGAGAACAGTTTGGGAACTGGGGTGGCCCATGAAGACGTGGAGGCCTGAAGAACCCTGGCCCAGGTTGAGGGGTCTGTCAGTTCTCTCTCTGCCTCCACCTTCTACAGCAGTGGCTCTCGGGGCCTCCTTCACCACCGTCTTTGTGACCACAAAGGCAGATTCATTTCTGGTTTCCCCTTCAGTTGGGGAAACAGAAGAGTTTTGGAAAATGACTCACCTTCCGAGAGTCCTGGCATCTTTGCTGTCGTATCTGCTTCCGTGAAATCCCTGTGGGCGTCAGTTCTTCCCAGGTAACGTTGGAATCATGCCTACTTCAAGGGTCAAGGGAGATGAACGCACGTCAAACTTTCTCTTGGCAACCGGCACTCCTGCTTGGAAGATCTGGGTTCTCCAAACCCTAACCTGGAAGGCCAGCTACGAGCCTTGCTGTTCATGTTGCGCAATGGGCCTTGAGGCAGAGTTTAAATCCTTCTGAAGAGGCTGCTGCTGGAACTGTAAAAACATTTGGTTTGTGCATCAAGACACTATCAGCTGGGCGCAGTGGCTCACTCCTATAATCCCAGCATTTTGGGAGGCCGAGGTGGGCAGATCACCTGAGGTCAGGAGTTTGAGACCAGCCTGGCCAACATGGTGAAACCCCATCTGTACTCAAAATACAGAAAAATTAGCTGAGCATGGTGGTGCATGCCTGTAGTCCCAGCTACTTGGGAGGCTAAGGCAGGAGAATCACTTGAACTTAGGAGGTGGAGTTTGCAGTAAGCCAAGATTGCACCACTGCACGCCAACCTGGGTAACAGCAAGACTCTGTCTCATAAAAAAAAAAAAAAAAAAAAAAATACACTATCAACAGAGTGAAAAGGCAACCCACGGAATGGAAGAAAATATTTGCAAACCATATATCTGAAAACAACCCAATTAAAAAATGGGCAAAGAGCTTGAATTGAAATTTCTCCAAGGAAGATATACCTGGGGAGTGAGTGTTTAATGGGTGCTGAGTTCCCGTTTGGGAAGATGAAAACGTTCTGGAGACACAGGGTGGTAATGGTTGTGCAACAATATGAATGTCTTAATGCCACTTAACTGTACCCTTAAAAATGGTTAAGATGGTCAATTTCATGTATATTTACATCTATTTTACCACAACGAAAGTAAATAAATAAACAAAGCATTTCAGAAGAAATACTGGGAAAGTAACTGGGGGCAAATCTGGACCTCATTTG